AAATAAGAATATTTTCCAAAATGTCAAACTATTCCTTCAAAAATATATACCCAGTATCAATAAACTTACATATATAATGTGTAAGTACATTCCTCCTAACCTGATAGTTAGCCATCTCAATCAGCTGCTCCATGTCTTTATCCGGGTGCCTCTGCTTCAGGTCCTTTAGCGTCCTCGCCATGTCCCTTCTGGCCTCGTCCTCCTCGTCCTTTGCTCCTCCCTCCTCCATCATCCCTCCGTCCATCCCGCTGTGACAGTTCAACGCCATCTGTCCATCCAGCTCCAGCATGTCCATCTTGGTGAACCCACCCGGACCCAGTGCTCCACCCCCTACTCCTCCATCCATGCCTCCTAACCCTCCGTCCGCCCCTCCCTCGGTCTCGATGATGATGCCGCGGTGCTTGTCAGCGCGGTAACGCTTGCGGACGTACTTGTAGAAGAGGAGGCGACGGTCGGCCACCCAGGCCTGGACCACGCAGAGGGGGAAGAAGAGGAAGGTCAGCACCGCCTCCCATACCTAGAAAAGAGAGGAGAGTTAAAAGCTTCTTCCTTTGTCCATCCTTTCCTTCCTTCCTGCCCAACTTTCCTCACTTAACAGCTTTCATGTCTATCCTCACCTCCACCTCTCCAGGGGAAAACACACTCAGAATCAGGTAAAGCCAGATGTAGGCGAAGATACTCCAGGCCGCCGTGACGAAGAACACCCGAAGGTGTTTGATTTTTCGTGTCTCACCGTCAGGAACCACGTACACACACAGAGCGATGATAACAAACATGTTGAAGGCAGCACTGCCCACGATGGTGCTGGGACCCAGAGAGCCAGCCTCGAAACCGTGACCACACACCTATAGTTGAGGTCAAAATCAGATTACCGTGTTCCCATTACGTTCTGTATCAGTTAATCTAATGTGTAACCACCCGGCTCATATTGTACTCACCTCAATAACGGACAGCAGTATCTCGGGGGCACTAGAACCCAAGGCCATTAGAGTGAGATTAGAAACCGTCTCATTCCAGATCCTGACCGTGGCTGTGGTGGTCTCACCATTCGGCCTCTTTATAGTGATTTCCTTCTCCTGGGAGGTTATGACCTGGATAGGAGAGGAGAGAAGAAGAGAAGAAAAGAGAAGGAGGCAGCAAAAGGAAAGAAAGGGAAAGGAAAATACAAGCAAAACATAGACAAAGAGAGTAGAGGGTGCAGAAAACAGAGAATGAAGTGATAAGGAAGGCAAAAGGAAAAGAAATGAATAGCAAATGCAACGAAGGGAAAGAAAAGGAAAGGATGTGCCAAAAAGGAAAAGCAACAAAAGGCAAGGACACAAAAGATGAGGCACCAAAAGGAAAGGAAAAGTAAGAGAAGGAAAGGAAAAGAAGGGAAGTTAATAGAAAAGAAAACGTTTTTGTCGTTTTGTTCATTTTATTATGTGTATTTCTCAGTTCACTTTAATAATGTAATATCATGAGGAGAAGCTCATAATGGAACCTTGCCTACCTCTATAGAAGACATGAATCGGTCCGCTATAATGCTCATGCCCAGGAACATATAGATGAGTGCTACAAAGTAAACAATGGCCCGTGCCACTTTGTCCCCAACAGAGGGGTTCTGAGGGTTCCACACGGGCAGTACCACTCCTGAAATGTAAGAAGAGGGAAAAAAAGGATAATCAAACAGAGTTTCACAGCAATTTTGTGTAATAACCCCACTAATCTCTCCCTTTCTAATCTTGTATAGTACGTAAAAAACCTCAGTGGCAGTGCAAGCTGATTAAGGGTTGGGATATTTTCCACATGGTCCCATTTGTCCTACTAAAACTTATAAGAAATGGATCAATGCGCTCTAGTTTCAGGGCAGTAAATTGCCACAATCAGCTGATAACTCACCATTGATGCACTTTTGCTCGACAGGCAATGAAACACTATAATCTTTGTATGGTGTGGTGTTCCTGCTGTGGGTTTGCTATGAATATTCTGCTGACATTGTGTCTGGTTCTAGCTTTAACTAGTGCATTAGTAAACTGGCACCTGGCAAACAGATCTCTTTTTTGGTAGGGGACAGTACACACAGAATGAGAGGCCAAAATATACCGCAGTAAATGCCAGGATTAGGTCGCTTTAGCAATAAAAGGACCATTGTGTTTTCAGGTCACACACTAGTGAAAACATACATATGAATATCATTTTCCAGTTCTGCCAATAGATCCTCCTAAATGTTACACACTGGACCTTTAAGGAGTCATTTGACTAATATACTGGTACCACATAAGAAATATACAATAAACTATAGAGTTGTGAAGTAACTCCAAAGTATGCTACTACGTGAAATAATCTTTAACCCAAATGGCTGAATATTTACTTAATACAGTCTATTTTTCACTCTCCTATACATTCTGAATGTATAATGCAACCAAGACAATGGAGACTTTGCAACTAAATCTGCAGGATAATTTAGCTGACTAAAATTATAAATGCATTAATGCAGTCAAACCATAACAATCATGAATTTTCTTGCTTTTTGTTTCTTACAAAAGAGGAAATTGAATTTATTGGATAAGCCACTTTAGAAACAAAGTGCGACAATTGGAAAATGGAGAGAAATGGTATTGGATGCAGTGTTTCTCTTCAAATCAGGGTGCATGTTGTGCTTTTGTCTGAAATCTGCTGCATATCAATAGTTAACTTTACTGTTTTGAAACATCATAATGCTCAGCTGTGATAAAGGTTCATGATATCAGTTACATGGTTGGTACACGGATAACCAAATTCAGGCATAGCTCTTTCCGTGACTTAACCCTTTAAGGGTTAAGTACAGATATCTGTAATCATGTTAAGCCCTCTCTATATGTATTAAACTGCAGTTTCCTCACAGATCAGGCCAACCCACCTTCCTGACAGGGGTCTCCACTAGCTGAGCAGTTTGTGTCAGATGAACCTGCGTGGACCGATCCAGGACATGACAGGAGGAGAAAGCAGGAGAGGAGGAAGAAGAGGAGGGATGTGGAGAGACTAGAGGGGCGGAGAGAGGAAGATGGAGCCACAGACATGGCTGATGGAGCCATTTTTGCTGATGCTGCCGGGACTTCACTTAGACTCTCCTGGAGTTCTACTGGGTCTGCACAGCGTGGGAAATACTTCCAAATTCTTAAAAGGTAGACAGAGAAGAAGGAAAGTTGTTTTATTTCTGTTGGTTTTAATTGTATTCACAATAAAGACACCCTCTGCTGCTTTTAAATCAGCTCAAGTGCCTTTAATCAAAACATGTGGAAAGTGCTAACAGGTTGAGAAAAAGCATCCCCAGCTGGCCTGTCAGCCAAACCCTATAGCTGCGACTAAGAAACGACATGCTTCATTTTTAGGAGAACTCAATAGAACGTGGTTTCAAAGTGCTTCATGGTGGATTAAAAACAGATCAAATGCAATAAAAAGCAATCAGAGCAATAATGAAAGGTCATTACATAAAAGCCAGTCTGAAAAAACAAGTTTGTAGAAATACTGTAAATGATGATACACCTCTTGCCAGCATCTGTAACAAAGTTAAAATAATAAAGTCTATAATAAAGCTGAATCTAGCAGGCCAGAGCTCCTCAGGAGCCCAGATGAAAAAAAATCAATCACCTCTTGTTTTTAATCTGGACTGCAGTCAATAGAAACTTATTTTTTAGCTGGACCACAGAAAAAACAGTAGATTACACATTACTCTATCTGTAATGTGGACTAATTTGGACTTTGCGATAGAAATCTTCCAGAGCACCACAGGCTATAAACTGGCTCATATAAGGCCCTTAAATGTGAACAGAGAACTGAAATCAATTATGATAAGAGATAAGCAATGCAAAATGTAACTGGGTTGATGTAATCTAGGCAAATGCAAAGTTTTGGCTTTATAATTCAGGCAGGAGCACATTGAAGCTAACTGGAGTCACTGGAGTTCCTAAAGCCAGACCAACCGCTATAAATTCCAGTGGTGATACATCACAGCAGAAAAAAAACATGTAAAAACATCCACAGAATCTTCCCAAATGCTCAGCATGTCCCACATAAAAAAATTAGGTGAAATCATGGATTTATGCATTTAAAGACACATTATACAGTGAATAGAGGCAGCTAAGCCTCCAGGGTCCACTAAACAAATAGTTTAGATTTTGGATGGTTAAAGCTGCACTGTTCATATTTTTATATGAACAAAGGGTCAAGTGATTATGTGTAATGTGAAACAAGTGGCTTGTATTGATAAAACCACAGATAATTATCCCCGGACCCTGCCGTTCCCCTCAGCTCTACAGAGCTTTTTAGCTTCTTTCAGCTCTTTGTTTTGGTTTTATGGCCCATAACTTTATTTTTTTAATTCAGCGTCATTTCCAGCCACATCTGTTGGCCGTTTTCAGCAAAAAAGCTCTGATAAACCGACAGTCGGCAGACAAGGTTAGCAACTAGCTGGTGAACATAACGGAACATTTATTAACTAAACAGACAGATATTTCCCGTGTCTGCTGGATGTGTAAGCTTTGCCATTACAACTTTATATGGTAATAGTGTCATTAGCATGTTTATGGTTTGTTGCACTGCCCCCAAGTGCAAAAAAAAAAAAAGAAAATCAATTCATGCATGTTTAAGGTTAGTATTAAGAATGTAGCTGGGACTAATATCTCTCTCTTCCAAGGCCTGCCTTAAAGGCATCACACAGGGCAAAAGCTTCCCTAGTATCTCCGCTGCTGCTTATTAATCTTTTGGTGTGTGCAGATGGTGCCAAAATGTTAAAATTTTTAATGCAGGGTATTCCGAACTGGAAATAGAGGTCTTAAATTAAGTCTTTTATGTGTGAATGTTTACATACAAGCCATAGACCACTGTATGCGTGTGTAGCCAGCTGTAAATGCTGTACTTGGCTGCAGATTTCGTGCAGCTATATACAGTGTTTGGCAAGAAACACGGAGCTGAGCTGACAACAAGCAGTCAACGGCAGAGATACAACAGCAATATGTTTTCATGACGAGGAAGCAAAGTGGCTTTTCAGTTGGACCAGAGTTAATATGTTGTGTGTGAAAACAGAATAAAAAAGGGAAGAGGAACCGTTTGAACCGGCAGTGTTGGGTCAAATCAGTGCAAACGGATACACAGAGAGGAACCGAAACATACACAAAGCACAGAGACAAATACACAGTGTCAATCTGCTTTTTTTCTGCCTGTTTTTTCAGATATCTGGTGGGTGGGGCAAAGGATCATCACAGGGACCCAGTGTTCCCAGTCTACTAACAGTCTCTCTCCCTGCAGGCACCCAGTTGGTTATATTGCAGCTTGGGTTCCTCTTCCCTTTATTTGGTTTACATGCACCTCACAACACTTACACCCTACTGCACTACTGATTCCACTGACCTCCACTACCCACGTGTCTTTGTACTTTTGTTATGTTAATTAATAATAAATTACTTTAAAAATGGTGTGTGTAACACTTTGCCTTGGCCTTATGAGCCAGGTTGCGACAAGTTGCTGACCTTGTACTTGCACACTCTCTCACACACACACTTCCAAATGCTGAGACACACACACACACACACACACGAACACCCACATATTCCACACTCTGAGTTAGTCAGCCTTGGGCAAAAAAATTGCTGACCCTGTCTTCACACAAGCACATACGCACGCGCGCACACACACACTTATATACACAGTTAGTCATCTGTCGTGACATTAGCGGGGAGTTGCTGACCCTGTCTTCATCTATCTTCCAGGGTCTCGCTGCTCTGACAACAACCTGTCACTTTAATACTCAGCTCGCTTCTCTCTTCCACCGTCTATCCCGCTATTGCTTCCCTGCACTCTCTTAGTCTCTCCTTTTTCACCCTTTTCAGTCTGAAATTAGACTTCACATCCTTAAGCTTAAAGCGGGGTTGCCCAAACTTTTTCCACTGGCAGGTCAAAACTGAAACTTGATGGGGGGGGCACAGCTGCTCAAAATGCCCCCAAAATTAGAGACTTGATTCATCCGTATAACTTGGCCTTCTTTCTCTTCTCTCTTCTTCTTTTACCTGTTTTAATAAGTCTTGTTCCCCCCCTCACTCCATCCCATCTTCTCAAGCTCCACCTCCCTCTCAGCCTTTTTGTCAGGCTCCCTCACCTCCTGCCTCCATTTCTTTCAATGCAAGTTAATGTCCTGTCGTCTTCCGTCTCTCTTTCTCTCTCTCCGCCCACACATCACTTCACGTCTCTAGCACCTCTCCATATCCCCTGCTCGCGCTCTCTTTCACACCTCCGATCTGTCCAGCCTCATTGCTCCTTTCATCTCATCCTCATCCGTAAACAAATCTGTCCCATTTTTAGTCCACAATATGTGTCATTGCAGGCACAATAGTAAACAAGCATTATAGAAAAAGATCAAGGATTGCTCATGAAAAGAGAGCACAAATTGGCTGGCTTAGGTTTTTTTTTTATAGCATTTAAACCTTAACTGGATAGTGACAAAAAGTAATGAAAGGGAAAGATGAATGTAAATAGCAACACAGTGGCTAAATGAAATGGTTCTGGTTGAATATAATATTGTGGCTGAATTTCAGCTTAAGAACTCAGTGTTATGTCAAGGTATTCATAATTTGCATATACTATTTGTGCTAAAAAAGAAAAGCTATTAGCCTTTTCTTGGGCTGAGTCAAGATGGTCTTTTCAGAGCTGACTTAAGTGCAACCCTTTAATAATAATGTGCAAGGCTGCATGACAGAAAGATGTCTGTGCACAAGGGAAATGAATACAAAAAGGGACATCTGAAAGTTGCAGAATATTAGCTGAAAAAAATGGTGCTCCACCGCTACACAATGCTACACTGATTCATTAGCATTAAGTTTAGTGGTATGTTTTTAACACTTTTTTGGATGGAACAAGCTTGTACACTATTTGTTCTTGTTTGGTAGCAGCGACTTCAGGACTTAAAAGCCACAGAATTGCTCTAACACACATTAATAGGATAAACTTGTGGGATATTGATAAATATATGTACACAACATGGGAAGTTCTGTATTGTCTCAGTCTTAAACCTAAAGGTCTGACACCAGTCTAGAGCTTGCTTCCTAATCCTGGTGCATGTATGAGTGTATCTGTGTGTGTGGGGGGGTTAATTCCTCAAGGCTTTCCCTTGTAGGACATGAATCATTCTGACGGATCACACACACACAGTGACCTGTTCTGACTTTTCTCAAGACTGACAGCGATGCTCATGCGCCTGATGTGCAGACATGTATGTAAATGCAATGCATGAATGTGTGTACACACACACACACACACACACACACACACACAAACTGTACAATCCATTGACACGCTTGCAAAAACATACACCCGTGTAAAGGTTTGGTTCTGCTTTCAATCAAACCAACAGGTGTTTACAGTGTTTGTGTGCAATGGGTGTGTGTGGGTGCATGTGTGAGTATCGAGGCAGATAATTTGATGATTGTATGATGCGTGTTTACACAGCTTCATAGGTGAAAGGCTGGAAGACACTGATATAACAAGATGGGATAATGATACTGTTGTCAGTTTTTTTCAGCAATAGCCATTTAATGTGTTTTGTTCTCTAATTACCTTCTGTACATGGTAGTTTTGACTGTTGGTGGCGGAGTCCACCATTCTGCACTGGATTTAAGCTGCCATACTACACCCATGGGAAACGATATATGTAATCGATGTCATGTAATCACTCTCTTAATGCTGTGTCTGAGCTGTATTAAGTTACTTTTTTAAACCTAACGTTGCCTGATGTTTCACAATAAAAGCATTCAACTGGCAAGTTACAGGGTGGCTTTTATTGTGAAAAACTTACTGGATACACAATATATTTGCTATTGAAATTAGCACTGACATCGATCGATCAAAATAAGGAGACAGTCAGACAATCTTAAATATTATAGGGACTAAGGGACTTCCTTATTAAAACAACTTTGGCTTGTTTGTCAGTACTGTAAGCAGATGCTCTGTTTCGTGTTGTTGCTCAGGAATAGTCAACTGTAGAATTAAACAATTACCACCAGACCTGAAATGTTCAGGGTTTTCACTTTACAGCCCTGGGAAAACGTCTGTAACAATCTGATGTAACAATGAAAAATCTCTTATCTGAAAGCAATATAAAATACAGGACACCAACATTAAACAGA